CTCTTGTCTCCCCATGGTCGTTTGCCTGGGGTCCTGGCAATGGATGGGGAGCAGGGGCTGGGGTGCAGGAGCCTGGCACAGAACCACCCTGGCACCAGCAATCCATGCTGAGGCTTCCCAGGGCTGGAGGATGCAAACCCATGGAATCAGCCATCCCAAAAAAGCACAAAAGGGGCCCTGCATGCCCATGCCTGCCTCAGTTTCCATGTCTGTGGAGGTTCCCTGCCTCCTCGGTGTCCCCACCTGCAGAGGGTCACAGCCGTTCAAGACCTTCTTGGGGTGGCTCTGGAGTTGGGTCCAGGTGGGATGAGCCATGCTGAGCCCAGCATCTCCCCAGAGCTCAGGGCATCCCTCACCCCATCCTCCTCCTCACCCATGCATCAGCCTCACCAGGGCCTGTCATGCTCACGCTGCACAGGGTACTTGCACAGACCCTTTGCAGGTGGAATTTCCACAGCCCAGAACCAGGCAGACACTGCTCCCCATGGACCCTGCACGTTCTGAGCGGGACTTTTTACTGATCCAAGCAAATTTCCCAACCTCTGGCACCCCCTGAACCCTTGGGATGCTCCTAATCCATCCCCCCACATCCCAGCCCAGCCCCCCGTGGTCGAGGGAATGGGGCCAGAGTCAAGGTTGCTTCCTGTTGATGTCCCTTTGTCAGGCAGGACAAACAGGGACTGCAGCCGCTCTCCTCAAGGATTTCCGTCCCCAGAACATCGTGGCCTTCTTGGAACAGCCAACACTGGCTAATGATCTGTCACTGCTTTGTCCCTAATTAGTTCACTGTTCTAAGAAGGGAGGTGGCGAGCGCTGGGGGTCTCACCGTCACTTGTCCCTAACCCATGTCCCACGGTGTGGAGGGAGACAGGGACACCACTCAGCCCTGTGTCACCTGTCCCTAAGCCATGGCGAGCAGAGGGTGTCCTGTGGCAGGCACAGGAAAACTGCTCCATGGTTAGGAGCATCCCTGGTATGAGGATGCCTTCGCCCCGAAGGACACAGACATCCCAGCACCCAGCTGGCACCAAGCCTTGGGTGCTGGCACTGCCAGGAGTGCTAGGAGGCAGCTGGCAAGATGTGCATCCTTGGGACATGGCATTCCTGGAAAGATTTCCCTGGCATACGGTCCCCTTCCCATCCCCACTGGCCACCAGCACCTCCCAGCCAGGTTTCCAGGACTTTCCTAGATGTTTCCTGGTGGATTAGCCATGCCAGGGCTCTCCGGGCCTGGCTCTGCTTGGGAGCATCATGGCAAAGCTCTGGAGGTGCAGCCAGAGTGGGGCTCATGGGGTCAGGGACACCCAGGTCCCATGCAGGGGGAACGGGGAGCAGTGGGACAGGAAGGGGAATGCGGCATTCCCACATCCATCCCTGCAACCCCTCCTGGCACGGCTGGCACTAATGGGATCTGCACAGTGATTAGGGACCTCATTTATCAGCCTCTGATGGGATCTGGGAAAATTGAATTGCCAGCCATCTGCAGCTGGGGAGGAATTCGATTTGGGGCAGCACTCTGGAGCAGGGCGTGGGGGGCTGGCAGAGCTGCCTCCCCCTGGGGCTCCGCTCTCTCCGTACGGGGACCGCTCTTATTTTCCATGTCTGTGAGGGTTTGATGATGGGATCCAGCTCTTGGCTGCCAGGAAGGGGTCTAGGAATCACAGGGGGTCTCACTACTCAGATGGGGAAACTGAGGCACGGCCAGGAGAAGCCCAAAGCCTGTTACATGGGGAAAGGATCACAGTGCTGGTGTTTAATGGGTCAGAACCCAGCCAGGGGTTTGGCCTCCAGCCCTCCTCGTCTATGGGGGGTCCCAAAGCCATGTCCAGGGCACCCAAAGCTGCCAGGCATCCTGCACCCGCCAAAGCCAGGCTGGAAGCAGCCGGAGAGGATCTCCTCTCCTGCAGCAGGAAAAGGGACACTCAGGAGCCAGCGTTGCTCCCTGGCATTTCCCACCCCACATGCACCCCTCGGGCAGGTCCCCACCATCCTCTCCCCCATATCCATGGGGTAGCCAGGGTAGGGATGCAATCAGATTCAGCTGCAAAGATCCCAGCCCAGTCCCCAAATTTATGGACTTGGCTCCTAGAGGGGCCCCCCCAGACTCGGCCCTGCAGGGGATCCCAGCCTATCACCTCCCTGCCAAATGTCACAGCTGGGCTCCAAAAAGCCAAGGTCACCCACAGGGCCTGTCACAGTCTGGGGGAGATGCCACTATGCCATCTTGATGGGGTGCAGCAGGAGCATACTGATCCCAGCTCCCCCTGCCCAGGGTGCAGCAGGAACACCCCCATCCCAGCTCCCTCTGCTCAGGTGCAGCAGGAACACCCCCATCCCAGCTCCCTCTGCCCAGGGTGCAGCAGGAACACCCCCATCCCAGCTCCCTCTGCTCAGGTGCAGCAGGAACACCCCCATCCCAGCTCCCTCTGCTCAGGGTGCAGTGGGGCACCCCCACCCCAGATCCCCATTATTCCCGGGTGATGCCATGGGGCATGAGAGCATGGGACCTATATACCAAACCCCACTACCCCCCAAAAATCAGCACCAGGGCACTGCAATTCTGGCACAGGCTGATTCCACACCCGTGAGCTGTCACTCCTTGGAAAAAAACCTTTGGCCCGAGGGGACCACCAGGCTGGGAAATACTGGGGCACACCCACCCACCCCGGTCTGAGGGTCTCGCTGTGCCCCCCCGGCCCTGCTGGGTGGGGGAGGAAGCCAGCCCTGCCCCACGTCACGGAAAGAAGCCGCCGCGGCCCTTTCCTCCCCTTTATTGCCCTGCTGATGTGTTTGTGTCCGCCGGAGGAAGCGCAGGGACAAACGCCCGCACACGCGTCTCCTCACGGCCCCCGGAGGGTCCCGGCCCCCGAACGCGGCCGGTTCCACGCGGGGGAGACTGAGGCAGGAGCAGCCCCGCGGTGCCGGCCGGGGCACCCTGATCCGGGTGGGCAAAGGTGCCCCAGCGCAGCCCCCGCAGCCCTCCCCCTGCCCCCCGACCCTTGGGAACAGCGGGGGCCCCCAACCCCTCCTGCTCCACCCGGCTGCGAACACGTATCAATTAGGGTTTGATTCATGATTCAGTCCGCGGGTAATTGCATTGGGGCTGGAGGCAGGGAGGGAGAGGAGGAACAGACATCTTCAGCCTCGCCCCACCGCAGGGTGGTCGGGAGGAGGGGGCTGGTGTTAGGGGGTAGTAACCCCTCAAGCCCTACATGCCACGCCCCCGCAAGGCTCGGGAATGGAGATTCCAGATGCAGCCAACACCCAGGACCCCAACGGGCGTGGGGATCCTGTGCCTGAGGTATTTTGTGGGGCGTGAGCTGTCCCTCACCCACCTCGGGCTGGGATGTGCTGGAGGGGGCAGGTCGGCAGGACCCATCCCCATCTCTCACGTCCCGTCCCCACACTGCATGGCAGCTCTGGTGCCCTCAAGTCTTCACCTGCCCATTCGCGGGGGCTCAGTGCCCCCCCGCAGGACACACCGGCCCCGCTCAGCTCCTTTCCCTCCGTCAGCAGCTTTCAGCTCTTTCCCGGAGAGCGTTTCCTTCCCTTCATTTCCCAGCATGGGTCCTCTCTCCGGCCTTGAACTCACAGCCCCCTGGAGCCCCCCGGAGCCCCCCCATTTGCCCCAAGCAGCTGTGCCCCCAAGGGGACCAAGGCCACGGCTCTTACACCCAAAACCGTCAGCACACAGGTCAGGGATCCATCCAGCTGAAGAGACGGTCACAAGAGGGAGAGAACTCCCCCCCAAGCCACCCCCTCCCCAAATTTGGGTGTGCTCAAAGGCGCGGGAGCACCGACGACCAAGTGTTTTTCCACCCACGTACTGGGACGCAGCCTCCACCTCCCCAGAACGTGCAGCTGGTTCAAGGAGGGTGGGGGGCTCAGGGCAGGGTCCTGCTGGGGGTGCTGAAGGGGTTGCCTCCTTCCCAGCACCCCCCACCCCGAGGGCTGGCCGCCGGGTGGAACACAGCCGGGATCGTGGGGCTCCCACTGCCAGCAGAGCGAGGGGACACAGGGAAGGGGGGACTCAAAGCCCCCAGACACACGAGACCCCCGGACATTCCTAAGCACATCACACCCCCACACCCCCAGCACACAAGGGACCCCCAGCCCCGAGACCACCGACCCCCCCGGGACCGCCTGGGTGCCCCCTTCCCCGGGGTGGCTCACGGTGTCCTGGAGAGTCCCCATGGCGCGGCCCAGCTCCTGGCGCGGCTGCGGGAGGGCGTGGGGGCCCCCCCGGGACCGGGACCGGCCCCCCCCCGGTCCAGCCCATTTCCTCCCGGGATCCCGCCGGGATCTGCATCTCCCCCCCAACGCCGCCTCCTTCCTGCGTGGAGCGCAGCGTGTCCCCAAGCCCGGGGGGGGGGGCACAAAACAGCACCGCCGCCCCCCATCCCGGGAGCCCCATCCGTGCCTCAGTTTCCCCGTCGGGCTCTCCCGGTGGGGCTCACAGCCCCCCACAGAAAAGGGGGAGATAAGCGGGTGCAAGTGTGTTGTGTTCGGGAAACCCACCTCCCCCCCCGCGCCGGCGCGAGAAAGGGGTGGGGGTCCCGCAACCCCCAGTCCCATCAGCCCCATGCAGCACCGAGCACGGCGGGCCGGGAGCCCCGGCTCCTAATCCCGCCCTCCAGCATGAACACCGGGACCCCCCGTACCCCCGGGACCGAGTGGGAGGGGAGGCGGGTGGGACAGGGGTCCTGGGTGGGAGGGGAGGTGGGTCGCGTGTCGTGGTTGCGAGGGGAGGTGGTTGGGGTGGGAGTCCCGCGTAGGAGGGGAGGCGAGTGGGGGTCCTGGATAGGAGGGAAGGAGGGTCGGGAATCCCGGGTGGGAGGGGAAGGGGGTTGGGGGTCCCGGGTGGAACGGGAGATGGTGGGATGGGTGTCCCGAATGGGAGGGGAGGCGCTCGGGGATGGAGATCCCGGTGGGAAAGAGAAGGGTCCCGAGTGGGAGAGAGGTGCGGGGGTCCCTCGCGGTGGAGGTCCCGCCGTCCCTACCTGTAGCGCCTCGGGGCCGGGCGCGGCGTCCCCCGCCTGCAGGAACCCGCGGCTGAAAAAGCGAAGGAGCGCGGTGAGGAGCCGCGGCACCATCCCGGCACCATCCCGGCCCCGCGCCCCCGCACCGCCCGCGGGCTGCGGGCACGCCCCGCCGCGACACGCCCCGCCGCGACACGCCCCGACACGACACGCCCCGCCGCGACACGCCCCGACACGACACGCCCCGACACGACACGGCCCGCACCTGCTGCGCGGGGTCCTGAGGGGCGGGGATGGGCGGGGGGCGTGGGGTCGGGAGGGGGTCGGGGCGTCACTATCCAACGTGGGGTGAGGGTCCCCGGTGTGGGACGGGGGTCGAGGTGGTGGTGCCGATGCGGACAGGGAATCAGGGCATCACTCCCCGCTGTGGGGAGGGGGAGGGTCCCAGTGCGTGTGTGGGATGGGGTTGAGGGTCCCGATGTGGAGAGGGGGTCGGGACATCACTCCCCGGCATGGAGAGGGGTGAGAGTCCCAGTGTGAGAAGGGTGACGGGGGTCCCGGGGTGGTGCCAGGGTCCCCAAGTGGGGAGAGAGTCAGGGCATCACTGCCCAGTTGGGGTGGCCCTGCTCGGGCCGTGGGGCTGGCAGTGCTCTCCCATTGCGCAGGCACCGGCTGTGCCCCCACGGCTCTGGCGTCTGGGGGGACACTCGTCCTCCTTGTTAAACCCTTCTCTCGTGAGGCTCGGGCCACCCCCCTGCCCCCTTCTTGGGCAGGGGTCACCTGCCAATCTCCCCCCACCCCCCGTGCAGTCTCCAGATAAAGTGACCCACACACACTTAAGGGCTGCACCTCACATTTGAGTTGGGGGGTCTTCCCCTCCTCCTCCGTGGTGGGGCACTGAAATCTCACCCCATCCCCGGCCCTGGGGTAACTCTGATGCAGAGCTTAGTACAGAAGGGCTCCCCTGCCTCCCATCCCGTGGGATACCGGAGGTGTCCTACCCAGCACCCCTCGCTTGGACAGGGAGGGACGCCCATGTTGGAGACCTTCATAGGGTCTGTTCACCCCCACCCTCCCATGTAACCGCATCGCCTTCGCTGAGGAACGACCACCCCCATCACGTCTCCCACCCTCTCCCAGGGACAAGTACAAGGATTTTGGGGTTCTGCCCCCACCCCAACGGCCCCGAGGAACCCACATGGAGGATCGAGGTGCTCGGCCGTGACACGGTGGCCACATGCCACGCGGTGAGAGGGACACCGGCAGCGCGACAACCTCCATCCGTCCTCATTCTCCTCCTCAGGGCAGAGGGGGAGGAAAGCCTCCCGCTCTTCTTCCTCATCTCGGGAGTGTGTGTCCCCAGGCACTCCCGTGTCCCTGGTGCTCTTCGGGGACAAGGTGCTCTGGGGATTCGCTGGTGGCTCGTCAGGGCTCAGCCCCCGTCGCACCATTTCGCAGGGAAATGCCACCTCGAGGCGCGGGCCGAGCAGGGGAGGGTTTGGGACGCCCTGCATGTTGCACCCCGCATCCCACTCCCCGCACCCCACTTCCTGCAGCCCGACCCCAGGGATGCCGGGACAGGGGGTCCCGTCCCGGAGGAGGGTCAGGGTGGCCGGTGGAGCCGCGGGGCCATCTAGTGGCCAGAGCCACCGGGGCCACTCCAGGGGGCTGATCCCGGGCACCCTCCCGCAGCCCCCCCGGCCTCAGAGGTCCTCCTATCCCCGGGGGTGACCCAGGGCGACAGGTACCTCTTCCCGGCGTGGCACAGCATCACGGGCTCCTCATCCCGAATCAGAGCCCCTCCAGGACAGCGTCTCACCGTGCCCACGGCCCTGACCAGGCCAGCACCAGAACCACTGTGTCCCCAAGATCAAGGCGTGGGGTCCCCAGCTCTGGGGACACCCTGCTGCAGGGACCAAGTGTCACCCAGCCCGGACAGGTCCTGCCGGCACAGATGTGGGTCCTGGGCTCCATGAATGAAGCAGATGCCCAGTGGGAATTGCAGATTCCTTGCGGGGCTGGCAGTGGAAACACCTCGAGGAACTGGGTGCTGGCAGGATCCGTGCCAAGCCTGGCACATCCCTGTCACCAGTCACCCACAGAGCAGGTCACAGCCCGGGGGACACAGAGCTATTGCTGGGCACAAGGACACAGTGCAGGGCTGTCCCTGCATCCCTGTCCCCAACTGCTTGCTCAGGGGTGCAAGGGATGGGACACAGGGGTGCAGAGACAAAGGGGTCTGGGGACAGGGGAGCAGGGACACAGGGGAGCAGGGACACAGGGAAGCAGGGACACAGTGGGGCAGGGACACAGTGGGGCAGGGACATGTGCTGCAGCACCCCATCGCATCCATGCATCGTTGCTCATCTCCCAGCTGGCTTGTCAATGACCCGGTGTGATTACGAGCTGCTCCCTGGCTCTTCTGTGTGCCCCAGGAATGGCATCCCTTGGATGGGAACGTCACAGCACTCAGATGGACACACGCAGCCCCGGAACCCCGTCCCAGAGCTGCTGGGAAAACCGTGGGTGGTGGGGAGAGGCAGCAGTGGGGGCTTCCCAGTTGGGCTTCCCACATTTCCATCCTCCCTGTGGTTTTTCCCTGTTCCCAAGCCGGGTTGGATCAATCAGCGCTGTGCATCCTGCCTCTCCCCAGGCCCTTGGGGAGCAGCCACCCCGCATCCCAGCTGGAGGGTGTCTGATGGCATCAGAGTGAGCAAAGTTCACACAGGCAAGTAAATATTAACACTTATTCCGTGGAAATGGAATATTCCACACCAGAGACACCGGAATAAACACACTCCAGCTTTTCCCTGGGGGGTGCTGGCACTAAATGGTGTCAAACTGCCAAAGTGGAAGGATTTTGAGGGGGCTAAGGCACCAAGATGGGCCTTCACACTCTGTGTAATCCCAAAATCCCATTTCTCCCCATCCCTAGCCCCCTTTGGGATCACTCTCAGGAGGGGCAACTGCAGCAATCTGTTCCCAGAGTAGCATCCGTGGGGACACTGGGTACACTGGGGGCACTGGGAGGGGAGGGGAGCGTGGCTGCTGTGAGTCAGGTCGGATCAGCGATGCTCCGGTAAACCGTGGCACCAGGACAGACCCGGGGCCGGGGCCTGGCTCTGGGGAAGCACAGGGCTGTGCCACCTTCCGGGGCATCCCTGTCCTCCAGTGGTGGCCAGTGCAGGTGGCACAGGGGTGTCTGGGGCTGCGGGCTCTGCCCGTGGGACGGAGGGCACTGGGACTCAGCCAAGCCTGAGGGACACAGCCACCAGTGGAGCTGCTGGATCCATGGATGAAGTGGGGTGTTACTCCTCCAGAGCTGCTAATCCGGGATACACTACACTGACAGCCCTAAATCCCATCAGAAATCAATCCATCTGCTCTTCCGCTCGGCACTAATCCTCACAATGGCACCCGATCGATATCCCATTTACTGCTCGGTGGTTTCCCCATGGATAAATCCCACCCAGAGCCTGGGATGCAGCCACCCCCCAGAGGGCTCTGGTGTCCGGGCAAGGCAGGGAATGCTGTGGGGCAGGGAATGCCGTATGGCTGTGGGGCAGGGAATGCTGTGGGGCAGGGAATGCCGTGTGGCTGTGGGGTAGGGAGTGTTGTGGAGCAGGGAATGCTGTGTGGCTGTGGGGCAGGGAATGCCACGGGGCAGGGAATGCGGCTATGGAGCAGGGAATGCTGCAGCATCCTTCATCCAGGCTATGCCAGCCGCAAGGCTGGAGGTGCTGGGAGGTTCCATGGGACCAGGCAGGTCCATGGCATGGATCTACTGGGAGCAGCGGGAGAGTTGAGAATGCACAGGAGCAAGGAGGAGCTGTGCCTGCAGCTGTCAGTAGGTGTGCACATGTATGTGTGTGTGTGTGTCTGTGTGTGTGTGTGTCTGTGTGCAAGTGTCTGTGTGTGCATGCGTGCATGTGCACATGTGTGGTGTGTGTGCACGTGTGTGTCTGTGCACATGTGCACGTGTGTGTGTGTGTGCACCTGTATGTGTGTGCACATGTGTGTGTGTGTGTGTGTGTGCCAGTGTGTGTGTGTGCACGTGTGTGTGTGTGTGTGTGTGCACATGTGTGTGTGTGGTGTGTGTGTGTTGTGTGGTGTGCACGTGTGTGTGTGCACGTGTGTATGTGTGTGCACGTGTGTGTGTGTGTGCACATGTGTGTGTGTGTGTGTGTGTGCACATGTGTGTGTGTGTGCACGTGTGTATGTGTGTGCACATGTGTGTGTGTGTGTGTGTGCACATGTGTGTGTGTGTGTGTGTGTGTGTGCACGTGTGTGTGTGTGTGCACATGTGTGTGCACCACAGACAGCCCCAGAAACACCCACACCCCGGCAGGGTGGGATCCAGGATCAAGGTGGATCCCTTGATCCACCACAGGAGCCAGAGCCTGAAACGATCTCAGGCTGGGCAGGGATGGGGGTGTCCTGGCACCAGCCCCTCAGAGGGGACAGTCCCCAGAGGTGCCAGCTGCAGAGACCTGGTGGCAGCAGGCCCAGGGCTCAGGCTATCACTGGATTTGGAGAGGGATAACAAAGGGATGAGGAAGGGATGAGGAAGGGCCGGGCTGATCGAGTGATACCGCTGATGAATAAGTGATGAAGCCCTTGGAGGGTCTCTATGGAGACAGTTCAGAACACGGCAGGGGCCGGGGTCCAGCAGCAGCCCCCACACCCCACGGGGCTAATTAGGGGGATGAGTGTGATGGCAGAGCCCTGCTGGTCCCGCCAGGGCAGCCAGCTCCCTGCCAGGCTGAGATGGCTCTTGGCTCAGTCTCCACACCTCTCCCCCCATTTCTCAGCTGCTTTCCCAGCTGGCTTGGCCGGTCCCCACAGACAAGCTCTGGCCATGGTGGCCACTGGCATCTCCAGCCTGGCTTGTGGGCCTTCATCCCCAGGGTCACACACAGCCTGTCCTGAGAGAGTGTCCTGTGTGTGCAGGGACAGAGCACAGCCCCACTGCACCCTCACAGGGGTGAGGGACACAGGACATCCTGGAGACTGCCTGCATCCAGGAGGTTAGCATGTGTCCATGGGGACAAACTGAATCCAGAGGGACACAAC